ACCAAAGCTGTGGAAAACGAAGAAGCCCTGGAGACCTGTGCACTGGCCAGCCAGTTTTCTTATTCGGTCCAAGACGAGGTCAATGATCTCTTTGCCGATGGTGTAGTGCCCACGGGCATAATTATTGGCAGCATCTTCCTTGCCTGTGATGAGCTGCTCAGGGTGGAAAAGCTGGCGGTAGGTGCCAGTGCGAACTTCATCAATAACTGTGGGTTCCAGGTCTACAAACACCGCCCTGGGCACATGCTTGCCAGCACCAATCTCACTGAAGAAGGTGTTGAAGGAGTCATCTCCTCCCCCAATGGTCTTGTCACTTGGCATCTGGCCATCAGGCTGGATACCGTGCTCCAGACAGTAGAGCTCCCAGCAGGCATTGCCAATTTGGACACCAGCCTGGCCAACGTGGATGGAGATGCACTCACGCATTCTGACTATGGGTTAGAAAGCAAGGACGACAGGAGTGGACAGCGGGTTCCGGTTACCGTCCCCGACAAGCTAAGAGTCGAGATAAGTAACGCACTCTTATTGCTGCTTTTTAATAAAAGACAAGCCTTCTCACATTGACTTCCCACAATAATGCTAATGAGACTCCTTTTCCACCAAAGGAAAGGTGAAGCAGATGAAGTCAGTTAAGTTTTGTAATAATCTGATGTTCTTGGCCTCTTGATATTTTTTAGATTCTTGATTGAGAAATGTACACAATTCTCCTTAAAACAAAGTTTTCCCTAATTACAGGGTTTGTGGAAGATCAGAAATTTGAAATGGCTGTGCGGTTCCCAAGCTATGTGGGGATTGCCCAGCTTCTGTTGGTTTGTTTTGTACTGTTTCCCTTCCCTCCCCCGCCCCATATGATTGGAAAGGCTATCAGAGACCCAGAAACAAAATGTTCCAGGTATTTATGATTTAATCCCCAGACTATGTGGTTCACAAACCTCAGGCAGATACTTTCCTCACAGAGACGTGGCTTTAAGCTTGAAGCAACCAGAGAAGTTTCAATTCTGCCTGTTTGTGTCTGGGCTGGACAAAAGGACTGTGGTGAACCATTCACTCATTCATTGACTTATTATGGTGAGCCATTTCTCCCTTCATTCACTGGCCCATTGCCATGGAGTTAGGATCAACTCATAACTGACCCTCCATTGAATTTCTGAGGCTGTCAAATCCCATGGGAGGAAATTGCCCTACTTCCTCCTGTAAACCCACCAATGGTGTCGAACTACCGGAGAGGCATGGTCTTGGAGTTAGCAGCACAACTCCCTGTGGACTAGACCACCAGAGCACCCCCATTTCAACTTTAGAGTGCAGTAATTAACCCTTACCAGGAAATAGAGATAGAAGCCTTAAAAAAGAAAGCAAAGAAACAAAAACCTAACAGTTGTATTGTGTTTCATTGGTTACTTCAATGCAGACATGTGTTGTCAGCTGATGGGCAGAATATTTCATCAGCAAAATCTTCAAACCAAAAGTATTTTCCTTCTTCCACATGATAGACTATTTCCACCTATGAATGAATGAGCCCTCAGTCATGGAAGTTGGGTGAAGTTACCACAGAAACCTCAGGACAGTGAATTCTTCAGACCATTTTCAATGCTATGAAGCTTCGCTAATTCATAAACTCACACATACCTCACCTGATGGTTCAAAACATATTTTTTGTTGTTGTTATGTGCCATCAAGTCACCTGCGACTCATAGCAATCCTATGTACAAGAACACCAAACCCTGCTCTATCCTGTGCCAATCTCATTGTCTCTGACACACCTACTACCATTACCCCAATCACTGAATCGATCCATCTCATCAAGGGTCTTCCTCTCTTCCCTTATCTCTCCACCCTTTCAACATGGTGTCCCTCTCCAAGGACTGGTTCTTCCTTGCAACATGCCCAAAGTATGTCAGATAAAGCTTCAGAATCCTTGCCTCCAAGGAGCAGCCTGGCTTCACCCTCTTCAGGACAAACCTGTTTGTTCTTCTAGTGGTCCATGGTATATTCAACACTCTTCTCCAGCACCACACCTCAAAGGCATCAATTCTCTTTCCATCATCCCTAATTACTGTCCAGCTCTCTGACACTTAGCATGCAAATGTGAAGACTATGCCCTGGATCAAGCACACCTTAGTCTCTGATATATAGCAACTAATTGCAAAGACCATGCCCTGGATCAAGAGCACCTTAGTCTCCAGACTGATGTCGTTGCTCTTCAGTACTCTAGAGAGGTCCCTGACAGCTAGCTGACTTTCCCAATGCAATTGATCTCTGCTGGTACCAAGAGTGATGATTCTGGAACCAAGCAAACTAAAGCTGTTAACAATCTCAATCTACTGGCACATAAAAACACAGGTTCTAGGACCAAACTAGATAGACCAGTTGGGTGGCCACAGGCAACTTATATACCTGCACTTTGCTTTAGTTTCCTTGTTTGTGCAGTGTGATAATATAAGCACTTACCTCACAGAGGTGTCATGATAATTAAGGAAACAAACCAATACAAAGCACTTATAGGAGGGCCTGGCACGAAGTTAACCAATTACTGTTTGAGTCATTTCCAATGTCACTCAATGGCCCCATGCGTGTCAGGGTAAACTTGGGCTTCATAGTGTTTCCAATGGATGATTTGTTGGTTGCAAATTGCAAAATCTTTCTTTTGAGGTGCCTCTGAGTGGATGCAAGCATCCACACGTCAGTTGGCAGCTGAGCACCTCCCCATTTACACCACCCAACGACTCTCCATTATAAACAGTAATTACATTTTGTGTTTGTCAGGGTCTTAGAAGGAGACAAGTAAGTGGTGCATTCTTGCTTGAGTTTCTTGAAAAAAGTGTAATAAGGGGCTATTAGCAAAGGTGTAGGCAGGGTTTAGGGAGCCCAGGAAGCAATAATATCCTGAGCCATTACCACCCACTGGCTGGAAAAGCAGAGGGAATCCAGGACTGTCTGGAATCTGGAAAGGAGAGAGATGCTTGAAGAGGGTCTGACGGCAGCCACAGGCTCTGGCAAAAGGATGCAGCCACTCTGAAAATATTTGGGGGAGAATGAATATTCTGGCCACACTACTTCCACATTCAGGTGCCAGTCATCCTGCAAACTCAAATGGAAACCTGCTTGGGGGTGGGGGGGTGTTGTAGCTCAGTGATAGACCATTTGACTGCAGAAACTAGCTGATGAAGAAGGCTGTTTTTGTTACCCCACTAGGGTGCTGGTGAGTGATGTTTAGTAACTCGATCTGAGGAGAGCAGTGCTCATGTGCACTGTTTTCTGGTTTCTGTCATGTAAATGTTCTGGTCATGTCACCAAGCATGAAGTCAGGAAGAGATGCACATAAGCAGGCTCCAGTGCACCACTGCTTCAGCCTCCCAGCGCACAGAGCAGGGTGGGGAAGAACGAAGCATTATCTGAAAAGATTTACAGAGGACTTTCATTTTATACCTAAAACGTAAAACGAAGCACCCATGGCAAACCTCCCAGCTGCAGCTGCAATAGGAGATTCTGGCACCTAGACCATGGGCATGATGTCTCCATCTTCTCCATCAATGTAAATGCCACATCCAAGGCTAATATATAGTTATTGTTGTTGTTATGTGCCATCGAGTTGCCTTGATTCATAGTGACCCTGTGTACAACAGCCCTAAATGCTGCTTTATCCTTTGCCAAACTCATTGTCTCTGACACACCTGCTCCCACTATCCCAGTCACTGAATCAATCCATCTCATCGAGGGTCTTCCTCTCCTGTACTGTCCCTCCACTCTCCCAAACATGTTGTCCCTCTCCAAGGACTGCCCCCTCCTGGCAACATGCCCAAAGTGTGTGAGACGGAATCAAAATCCTTGCCTCCATGGAGCAACTTGGTTTCACCCTCTCTAGGACAGACCTTTTTGTTCTCTTGGCAGTCCATGGAATGTTCAATACTCTTCTCCAGCACCACAACTCAAAGAAGTCAATTTCTTCTCTCTGTCATCCTTAGTCATTGTCTAGCTATCAGATGCATAGCAAGTCTTTGCAAAAGCCATGGCTTAAAACAGGCACACCTTAGTCTCTAGACTGACATCATTGCTCATTAGTACTCTGGAGAGGTTTCTGAAAAACATCCTTCTCCTGGAGCAATTCTTCTTTTTATTTCCTGCTTGCTGGTGCCAAGAGTGTTTACTGTGGGAGGGAGCAAGCTGAAGCTGTTAACAATTTCAATCTCTTTCCCATCTATTATGATGCTTTCAATTGGCCTAGTGGCAAGAATCTTTGTTTCCTTGAGCTTTAATCCATATTGCAAACTACAGTCCTTGATATTTTGCAGCAAACACCTCAGGTTCTCCTCAGTATAAACAAGTAAGGTTGTGTCATCGGCATAACACAGGTTGTTGACAAGTCTTCTTCCAATCCTGATACCACATTCCTCTTCATAGAATCCAGCCTCCCAAATGATCTGTTCTGCCATAGATTGGATAAGTATGGATTTAAGAAAAGAAAAGGTATGACGAGAGGATGCATCCTGACCTGGCAAAGGAAGTACCGTGACCACGAAGGTGGCCCCAGGGGTTAGACCAGTTTATAATATACCATATGGCATTGAGCAGTGGTTCCTGGAGGTCATAGTAGTATGCTTTTGAGAGGAATCTAACTCAGAGTGAGCCCATGTGTAAGATAAGAGCTACTCCATAGACTTTTTAAAAATTGTAAACTTTAACAGATTATCTATGGAGCAGTCAGCTAGATAATTTTAAGGATCAGTACACTAAGGTTTATTTAAAAGTTAGTTGGGCCCTCAGGTCTCATGTTATGATAATTTGGAGGAACATTCTTCTAAGTTGTACAGCACTCTTCTGTCAATTTGCTGTACTGAGGTAACCTGAGGTTACTGTGATGCTGAACCTTGTGCCACTGGGGTGTCAAATGCCATAACGGTAACGGTTACCTATGGTGGACAGTGTTTGGTGGAGCTCCCAGTTTAAGACAGGATTGGAAGCAGGAGTGGTATCCACTTCCTAAACAACATGTCTCTGGAAACTATGAACTTGGAGAAATGACAATAGTTATAGAAAGGCTTTAGGCCTTTGGTTCACAGGGTTGCTGTGAATTGTACTCAACTCGATGGCAACCAAGAATAACAACAATTCTTAACATAATGTCAGGGATGATGAGAATGGCACAGGATAGGACCGGGTTCATATCTGTTGTTCATAAGGTTGCTATGGAATTATGCCCAACTCATGGACACGTGTAACAACAATCCTTACAGAAGGAGCTCTGGTGGCCTCGCCCTTACAGGGCTGTGCTGCTAACCCAAAAGCAGTATCTCTCTAGCAGTTCTAGTCCACCTGGCACTCAGCTAGGAATGATGGACTATCTCCTTCCCTGAGATTTACAGCATCAGATACTCAATGGAGGATCAACTATGAGTGCGTTCCGACTTGATGGCAGAGTTTGGGTTTTG